TCACACTGAACTGAGCTAAACTGAACTGAACTGAACTTAAACACTAAAACCTGAACCACACTGTTCCAGTTACTATGACCATTTATGTGAATCTGCTTTGAAACAATCTACATTGTAAAAGCGCTATACAAATAAAGCTGAATTGAATTAAATTGAATATTTATCCAAAACTGAAAATTTGACAGTATTTAGGCCCCGTTTACACTTATAGGTTTTAGTTTTGCTACGGTTATGCCATCCGTTCACACTATGCCAATTTTCTAGCACCAAAAACGTAGCGTTTTGGAAACACTGAAGTGTGTGTTTTTATTCTGAAACGCTGCTGCTCTGTGATTGGATGGGGGAAACGGAGACATCTGAAAAAGGAGACAAGGCTGCAGACATTCGCCTCTCTGATTGGGGCTTTTTCCTCAATATTAAGTAGCCTACACACAGTTCAGTCTTGCATCGTCTCCTTGTAAGTTCAAACTTCGCAAATTTGATATGGAAAACAAACTCCCGAGGACACGTCGGGTAAATCTTTAAAGCGAACAATGTACTGTATAACTTCATTCACATCATCCAGCTGTAGATCCTTGATGAACTCACCTGAAACCCTTTTCTCAATCTTTCTGAATGAAATGCCTACTTTACTGCATCCATTCAGCTCGCAGCAGAAAAAAAAGCCACGCCCACTCTTTTCTCTTTTTAGAAACTTTAAAGGTTGACGAAACCCTCGAGTACTTTTTTGAGATTTTAACAGATTTGTGTGTGCTGAGCATTACTTCGGGCAATGTTAGCACATGTCAGCTTTACTTGGGAAAAAATGGATAATTTTGAGCTTTTGTCAACTAAATTCAGCTTCCGAGTTTAAAATGATTTTTGGGGCGGGATCAAAATCGTCAACGTATCGCAAATATGCAAGTGCAAAGATGACGCGTCATTTTCTCCTTATTATTCATAGCTGAGTTTTCTTATCCTATGAGAAGAGCTGGCTTCTTAATTATTCATGACTGCATAAGCTTTCTGAAGACAAGGCAGACCGGCCAGTGCCAAGCTGTGAGACCCTATGATGATGACTGAGTGAGTAAGACCCCGTCCACAGGTCCACTGCACACAGTATTTAGCTGTTCATGAAGGGTCGTATGTGTTTGTTTCCATGATCCACGAGGTTTGTTGCATGTTTTTTTTCTCGATGCTGTCAGGGCCGATACAGCAAAGCTGTTTGTGTGCAGCAAGCATTTTTGTCGGGAGAGCAGTACGAGAATTGGAGAATGGCAGACGCTGTGTTTTATCAGTTAAGTTCGTTCACATTTAGACACATCGCCGTGCTGTTGTTTTTGCCTAAATCCTCCAGATTACCAACAGGGCTAATGGTTAAAATAGACAGGGCAAGATACCTGCTGCACTGAGTCTGCATTCAGACCCGGGGATCGAGGGAAAAGTTCTCATTCATTGTGTTTATATGAACACGATTATCTTTATAATGATATAAATTGTGGTTATCTGTAAATGAAATTATGAACAACAAATGTAGCAGGGCATTAAATTACTGTTTATTTCTTTGTATTTTAACTTTGTAAACTATAAACTCATGCGCCTACTCATGGTTTGTGTCTCATTTTATGAGCTAACAGACAACAGTTGTTCGCTCCGCTCCTTCTCCCCTGCTCTGCTGGCCACGCCCACTCCTGCCCTTTGCTCGCAGAGCTCTACGCCTATTATGATGCATCTTTTGAAAAAATTTAGAGGTAGACCTGAACCGAAAGTGGGGGGTGTCATTACCCTTTAATCAATACAGTTGAAGTCAGAATTATTACCCGCTCTTTGAATTTTTTTTTCTCTTTTTTTAAATATTACCCAAATTATGTTACACAGAGCAAGGAATTTTCACATTATGTCTGATAATATTTTTTTTCTAAAGAAAGTCTTTTTTGTTTTATTTCAGCTAAAGTAAAAGCAGTTTTTAATTTTTGAAACACCATTTTAAAGACAAAATTTTTAGCCCCTTTAGGCAATTTTTTTTTCAATAGTCTACAGAACAAACCATCATTTTACAATCACTTGCCTAATTACCATAACCTGCCTAGTTAACCTAATTAACCTGCCTAAGTTGAGCCTTTAAATGTCACTTTAAGCTGTATAGAAGTGTCTTGAAAAATATCAAGTCAATCCTTTTTGAGTTTCTTTTTGCTGTTGGTCACAAAATAAGATATTTTGAAGAAAGCTGGAAATCTGCAATCATTGGCATCCATAGTTTTAGTTTTTCCCACAATGGAAGTCAATTAAATGTGAAAACAGCATGCCACAGACACACAAACGTCACTGACATCTGCTGATCATTTTTCATTGATCCACTGAATGCGCATGATCTAATAAAGGCACAGATGCACTGATGACATCATCAGTCTGACACATCTGACCTGAACAACATGCTACAGAAAACCTGAGATCACCAGTGAAATACAAATGAGCTCAGCGTTTACTCTTCATGCAATTTAAAGGCACACGGATGGAAACGTATAAGCTGAAACAAGGAAAAATAATGAATAATATTGCATAGATAAAGATGTGAATAAATTGCTTTTGTAGATTAGATAGACAAATTCAACAACGTACTGGAAAATTCCTTAGAGATTTTGCTCCATATTGACATGATAGCATTCCACCACATCCCAAAGGTGCTCTATTGGATGGAGATCTGGTGAACTCATTGTCATGTTTAAGAATCCAGTCTGAGATGATTCTTGCTCTATGACATGACGCATTATCCTGCTGTAAGTAGCCATCAGAAGATGGGTACACTGTGGTCGTAAAGACATGAACATGGTCAGCAACAATACTCGGGTAGGCTGTGGCGTTGACATGATGCTCAATTGGTACTAATGGGCCCAAAGTGTGCCAAGAAAATATCCCCCACACCATTACACCACCACCAGCAGCCTGAACCGTTGATACAAGGCAGGATGGATCCATGCTTTCATGTTGTTGACGCCAAATTCTGATCTTACCATACAAATGTCGCAGCAGAAATCGAGACTCATCAGAGCAGGCAACGTTTTCAAATCTTCTATTGTCTAATTTTCTTAAGCCTCTGCGAATTGTAGCCTCAGTTTCCTGTTCTTAGCTGACAGGAGTGGCACCCGATGTGGTCTTCTGCTGCTGTAGCCCATCAAGGTTGGACGTGTTGTGTGTTTAGAGTTGCTCTTCTGCATATCTCGGTTGTAACAAGTGGTTATTTTTAATCAAATTTTTTGGAGTTAGGCCTGAATGGTCTAATCCAATTCAATGATTTATGCTAAGATAAGCTAAAAATGACCCAGAAATCATCTGAATAATTAATCTGAATTGATTAAAATGGTAAAAATCAATTGTTTAACTCTAGGAAAGTTGTAAAATGAGCCTACTACTACTAATAATAATAATAATAATAACAACAAAAGAGAAAGAAGAAATAAAGTAAACAGTAATTTAATTTAGGAGTTTTTCATAAAAAATAAAAAGGTAAACAGAATCTAAATACAAGCCAAATGTTAACAATATAAAATCATAAAGCAATACATTTACAAACACTTAAAAAATAAATCCTATTAAATAAGAAATAGTTGAAATACAGAAATAGTTGTGCCCAACTGAGCCTGATTTCTCTCAAGGTTTTTATTTCCTTCACTTTCATCAATTGGTGAAGTTTGTTCCTCACCACTGGCTGGCTTGGTCTGGAACTTGTATAGCTGTACATCGATGGATTTGCTCTTCAGTGTTTGGACTTTTAGCAGTAAAAATTAAACCACACTGAACTGAACTTCAACTCTTAAAAACTGGACTGACATTTTCAGTTTACTATAATCTTCTATGTTAAGCTGGGTCATTGGACCTTTGGGAACAAATGAATCGCTGAACGGTCCATAAAGAAGTCGCTGGGATAATTAGGTAAAGATAAATGCTATGAAAATAAAATGTTTTTTTTTTTTTGGACCTTGCACACATATCAGCATTTTGCTGGAGACCCCTAAAGCCAAAATATGATAATTTTAATGCAAAACAGGGGTTCTTTAATCTTTAAAGGGCACCTATTTTACCCCTTTTTAAGATTTAATGTAAGTCTTTTGTGTCTCCAGATTATGTGTCTGTAAAGTTTCAGCTCAAAACACTCATCAGATTATTTATTATACCTTTTAGAATTTTATACCTTTTTAGACACACCTGGTCCAGATCCCCCATGATTGCTGAAGCTGTGAATCCTGCATTTGGATCTTGTCCAGCGTCTTCTTCACATGACAGAAGACTCATCCACAACATGGATCCTTTAGATCAGCTGTGTCAGCCAAGAATCAAGCACCCTTGAGGACTATATCTGTAAGTTTTAGGACATTTCAAATGAATCTGACCTCCCAGACTGTATACTTAGTGATTTGTTTGTATCAGGTACTAAATGAGCCATTTAAATCATGGGGGATATGGACCAGGTGTGTGAGTGAAGTGCATGATGGCCTTTGTAGTTCATCAGTGATTCTGCAAAGGCTGGATCGCTGGTGACCGTGACAAGAATCATCACCAACATGACTCCAGACACAAAATTCAACACTTTGGAAACAGTCAATTGAGCAGATAAACGCAACAAGCATACAAAAGCATTTTTTTTATACAATTGAATTCTTTTATTCTGCATTTCAAATATGTACATAATAAAAAAAGGATCCGTTTTCCGTTTAGCAAAGGTTCCTCTGCTGTGGACACTTTTCTTCATACTTTATCTCCTCCTCCTCTTCTTCATGCTGGCTTCCACCTCCTCCTTTATCTCGTCCTCTTTTGTCTCACTGTTCCTTTTTCTCCTCCACTTCTTCATTTCCTCCTTCTCAGTCTCCTTTATCACCTCAGTGTCCCTTTTCTTTTCCTCCTCTGCCCGCTTCATGTTCTCTTTCTCCTCCACCCTCCACTTCTGATTCACCTCCACCTTCTACTTCTCATACTCCTCCACCACCATCCTCTCATCCTCCTCCATCTTCTCCACCTCCATCTCTTCTCCCTCCTCCACCTCCATCTTCTCCTCCTTCACCTTTGTGTCTCCTCCCTCCGCCACCTCCATCTCCTCCTCCACTGCCATCTCCTCTTCCCTTTTCTTCATGATTTCCTTCATCATCATCACCTCTTCCTCCACCTCCTTCTTCATCCTCCTCCTCCTCTTTCTGATTTCCTCCAAAGTAATCGGAATCTCATCATCTGTTAAAGGAGAAGCGATTGCCGTTTACACAAGGAGACCTTAAGCTCCAGCTAAGGGTGAGTGAAGCTGAAGTTTCATTATAACAGATTTATGCAATAACAATCGTTCACCTTTAGGGGATCTTAAACAGCACATCTGGCACATTGATCGTAAAAAACGTGCCAGTCTGTTCTTCTTTTTGTCCTTCATGTTCACCTCATCTGGTAAAAGAGAAATGATTGCAGTTATTTGAGAAGAAATTAAAAATATGTATCTGTTATTTATCCTTCATGAAAACCCACCATTTTGCTATGCTAAGCTACTTTAACCATGTAATTTTGCATTGTGTTTTATTATTATTTATCGCTTTAACTGCCTGCTCTATCAAATGATTGACCATGTTTTGATTGTGTTAATCATGACTGTTAAAGTTATACCATTATTATGGTTCACACTACACTCTCAGAAATAATGGTACAAAATTGTACCAAAGAAGGTACAAACACTTGTCACTGGGGCAGTATATTTTTATGGAACAGAATTGTAACTTAGGACAAAGAAACACATTTGTAACATTGCAGTTTGTACCTTTAAGGACATGATTTGTATCATGGACAACCAAAATGTACCTTTGGTTTTTAAAACCTGCAGATACAATATTGTAATTCATCAAAGGTACAAATCTGATCCACGAAGGTGCCACTAAAGTGACAAGACACTTTGTACCTTAACAGTGTCAAATGTGTTTCTTTAAGAACTATTTAAGGGCATTTTCCATATCCAAAATGCGTAAATATATTTTCAGTAAATATTAAATGCATTTTAAACAATGTTTTTTTAAAAGTTTCTGTTTGTTTAAATGCACCTTTTCCATTTACAATAAGGAAGAAAAACACTAACATCAATCAAAAGATCTATTTTTTGCTAAACATTTACCAACACTTTTCAAAAAAAGTTACAGAAACGCATTCTCCCATGTACAATATAAAACTTTTTTCTCCAGTTTTCACACAATACCTTTGTAATCACTTAAAAGTTCATTTAATTGACTTAATTTTAGAATACAAATAGAATTATGCAAAAGTATTGTAATGAGATATGCACAATGTTTGATTAGCTTTGCAATAGTTTATTTTCTGCATGAACACTTTGCATATGCAGGACTTTTGCTAGCTAGCGTACATATATCAATAATGAAAATAGAAAAAAACGTTTATTAGAAATGTCTTAAATGTTTAGTTTACAATACCTTTAGTTTTGTTTTACACTCTCAGAAATAAAGGTATGCTGTCACTGGAGTAGTACCTTTAAAAAGGTACATGTTTGTGCTTAAAAGGTTCATATTGATACCTAAAAAGTATATATTCGTACCCACAAATTTTAGGAGGAAAACAATTGTACTTTTAAGGTACTTATATGTACCCTTGAGGTATTAATATGGAGTTTTTCTGTACCATGATAGGTACTTCTTTTACAAACGCAAAATGCGATCCAAAAAAGAATGTTCTTTGTGGGGCAGTTAAAGGGTTATTAGAATTGATTATAATAATAGATTTTAATATCATTTTCATGGTGCACGAATGGCAACAAAAACATGTTCAGAGCCCTTTTATAAGTTACACAAGTGAATTCTTTATTGTAGTGAGGGATTTGAGACTAAAACTGTATCAGAAAAGCTGTAAATGGGATACAACATTCATTTACAGTTCTTAAAGAGACTAGAATTCACAATATCAGCACTGTTTCTGCTAGTCCTTAACTGTGTAGTATGGATTAAGAAAAATCACTTTGTTAAACTGCAGAGTTGAATTTTCAACATCAAAAGTGGCCAGAGCTAAAATCAACTGTAAATTAACGAGAACAGTAAATTAAAAGATTATTTACAGTGTTCAGCCTTGAAAAACTTGATGGAAAGGTGGCTTAATTCATCTCTAATTGTGAAAATGTCTGAACATTCATTCATATCACAACAACTTACCATTTGTGTCACACAAAGTCTTCACTCTTGCCCTGTGAATGCCTGGTTTTTTAGGTTTCAGACCTGGATGGTATTGGTCAACCATTATAATTAAATGTTCAGCCATAAGCCACTGAGATGTAATTACAGGGTATTTGATCAACGGTATTGAAAATAGTCGAATTAGAAATCACTGGAGAGAATAATACAAGTCACTACTACACCACTACAACAAACCAACAAAGAACTTCTCAGTTTTGCAAGGCTTAATGTTCCGTTTGGAACTACGATTAGAACACATTCTACGCATCATAGCTCATGACACAGCATGTTTTGTTTTAAATAGATGCATGAGGATGAATGCAAATGGCCTAAAAACAAATACAATTCACATGAATGATCCATTTAAAACAGCTTTTGTCTCTTAGATTAATCATACAGCCAGGATAAACGCTGTTTTAAATTGATTATTCATTTAAAATTGATGTAAATGTAAACAAAAAATCACAACAAATGAAACAAACACAAACTCATTTATTAAAAATAATTTATTAGAGATTAATCTGAAGTGTTCTGCTTTGATACGATCCAACCAGCATAACAAACCCTGTAAAAAGTGATTAGTTACTTAAAGCGAGTAAAATAATTGCCTTAAAAGCAACAATTTGACTTCACAAAGATAATGTAAGTAAATCCATTGTAATTTGAAACTGTTAAGTTGACTTAATTTTTATAATTATGCAAATTTTACTTACTTTTTTTTAAAGTCCACTTATAACTTTTTACAGTGTCACACTATTTTAGCATGGCTGTTTTCAAATTATCCTGGTACTTATTACAATATGACATTTTTGGTGCTTCATTAAGCCTATAAAATCTACAATTATAGCCTGTGTGGAATTTAGATGACACATCTCCACATTGTGGAGTCTGGAAGAGCAGATTTATTTTACTGGATGTCATTTTTCTAGATACAGAAAAGCTGATTTTTTATATAAAGGTGTATTGAAAAAAGAGAATTAGTTTATTATTATTTTTTTAAGAGTACATTTTGCATAATTATAAAAATTATGTCGCCATAACAGTTCCAAGTTACAATGGGTTTTCTAGACACTCAAAGCGCTTTACACACATTGGGGGAATCTTTCCCATGTGGTCTCCCATGCAGGTACTGACTGGGCACGTCCCTGCTTAGCTAAGATAACATTAAATAATTTGGTAAACAAAGACAAATCCGAGATGGACTAACCGATGAAATCTGCTCTCGGTGGGGGAGGTGATGACAGAACTGCCACTGACAAGCTGGGGGTCAGAGACTCCACATAAACTTAGGCACATCTTCAAAGATGCTCTACCTTTTTGAATAAACTGCTGATTCGAGTTCAAAACAACTACAACCTCGCCAGAAAAACTCTTAAAACTTTATTTTGTGACACAGTAAAGGAGTAATATTAAAATTGTGCAGGTTTAATCCGCAATTAGCTTTCACTGGTTTGGCTGCAATGCATTCTTGGAAACCTGTGCTTCGCAAGTCACCTTTTTAATGCGCCCTTAACAAAAGGGGTGGAGCAAGGACACATCCAAGTATTTTGTATTTAGCAAGATGTGAACTTTGAATTGGAACAGCACTTCGGCGATGGTTGATGACGTTTCACGAGGACACAAGAACGCAAGTACAGACAGGAACTCATATTGAGAAACAGCCATAGGCATTTTAGCCCCGCCCTCTTTTGAAAAAAAACAATCTCATTTGAATTTAAAGCGACAGTCACCAATATCATTATTTGTGGTGTATTTTGAGCTAAAACTTACACGTACACTCACATACAAACTCATTTCAAATCTTTTAATGGAAACATAGCTAACGGCTGCACTACTCGTACATGACAGGTAAGGTAAATAGGTTATTCAGTAAAAGTCAGGGGCTTAGAGTGGGATGTCTTTCATCAAGTTCTTCTCTCTCTCTGTCTGTCTCCACAGGTTCAGGTATTGCTGTATTACCGCAGCATCCACCAATATGCTTCGCTTCTCCACTGACGTCTAACACACTCATCAAGCCATCCAGTTCTTCAGTACACAAGCCAACGCCATCAGAGAGAAACTGTTCATGTGCAGCCCAGAGAAGAGCTGCAGCGAGAGGAGGACCACCTGAGAGAGCCCAACATTCACTGTCAACACACGCAAATCACACACTTATCACACCGCTGTCCTGCCAAACACAAACACCACCCCATTACCTTCCCGTTTGAAGGTTTGTATGATGGGGCGTGGGCTCATCAGAGACACAGATGCATGCTGGGATGTCTGTGAACTCCTCTGAAGCCCAGCTCAGTGATCCCGGAGCTGGAATACTATGGTAAATTTCTCCTATTCCCCAAGAGACATTCCGGATAACATCAGCATTGACATGTTTATACACATGATTTGTTTTATTTTGTTTCAGAAGCTTTTGTGCATGTGATATGAGCATGTGTGTGTGTGTGTGTTGGACTGACAGATGGATGGACGGAGAGAGAGAATTGGTTTGTTGAACCTCAGCTGGCATTTTTGGTGTCAGCTGTAAAAAAACGCCAGCGGCACAAAAAGTGTGTATGCATTGTGTGTGTGTGTCACTGTGATCAGAGTCTCAGTCATTTTAACAATCGGAGCAACCTAACACTTCTCAGAAACCCTGCATATCTTAGTAATTCAGGAGAATATAAAAACAAACTGCATCTTATTATGTTTTCTCCTGTACAGTAAATGTTGTAAGCATTTTCTTTCTGCATGAAATACTAGTCTGACTTGACAGTGAGAAATCCAGACTCGGAGTTGCTGAAGGATTTGACTTTCAGCTGACATGATGGTTGATGGATGGAGTGTTTGGAAAAACTCATTTTTATTTCTGAGTAAAAACTGTCAATAAAACTATACATTTAGTCATTTAGCAGACTCTTTCATTCAAAAGCGACTTACAAGATTATAACACTTATAGCATTTGATAATATTAATGATGTCATGTGCTTTTGTTGTTTTCCAGGTTAGAGATCAACATCCTGTCAACGTCACTGTTTTGACTTGGTAAAAACCTACAGTAATGACAGTCAATGAGAGTCAATGATGTATTTTCTATTGGATTCAGGTCAGGTGATTGGCTGGGCCATTCTTCATTCTTGATTTTCTTTCTCTGAAAGCATTTGAGAGTTTCCTTAGCTGTTTTGGATTATTGTCTTGCTGAAAAGTCCACTCTGGTTTCATCTTCATCATCCTGCTAATGTAGATGTTGGAATGAAGTAGCTAAAATTCATTTACAATGAGGAAGGGCAGAGGCTTGGTTTCTAACTACTGAGAGATTTCAGCTGCTGACTGGGCTTTTACTGCCTTTCTACACTTTTATTTTTTTATGTGTTCAATACTTTTTCCCTGCGTCATTTCATTTTATTATTCATAACTTCATTTGTAAACTAATTCGATTTCTTTTCTTCGTATTTATGGATTTCTTTGGTTGTTACCAACATCTGAGGAACATGTTGGTACTAATATTCACAGCTGCATGTCTTTCTTTTTCCAGTAAGAAGATGCTTCTCTTAATTATGCATGACAGCATGCAGGATTTCTAATGAAACTTCCACTGATGAAATCAGGAAGTGATGGACAGCTCTGTCGATCAAATGTGAGTTTGTTTTTACATTGCATGAGTTTCTGTGTGGCAGATATTATCGTCCATAATTTATCCTGAGTTTTCCATTACAAAAGCAATTTCTTCACATCTTTACAGATTATATTCTGAATCAGCACCATAAAATATTCGTAAATGTTATTAAAGATGCAGCATATAGATTCACTCATTTTCCTTCATCCTAGTCCCTCATTTATCAGGGGTCACCACAGTGGAATGAATCGCCAACTATTTCAGCATTTGTTTTATGCAGTGGATGCACTTCCAACTGCAACCCAGTATCGGGAAACACCCATATACCATTCACACATACACTGTGGTCAATTTAGCTTATTTAATTCACCTATGTCACATGTCTTTGGACTGTGGGGAAACCGGAGCACCCGGAGGAAACCCACGTAAACACGTGGAGAACATCCAAACTCGAACCAGCGACCTTCTTGTTCTGAGGTGACAGTGCTAACCACTGAGCCACCGTGCTGGCAGCATATAGATTATATACACTGTTGCGTCTACTTTTTTTTCTCCCCTTTGACTGTCTCTCTTTTACACTTCCCTCCATGAAGCACGTTAACCACACCTACTTTTGCAAACTTTTTAAAGGGATAGGTTACTCCAAAATGTAAATAAACTTAAAATAAAATAAACTTTAGTGAAATTTCTTTCATTTGTTGAACAAAAAACAAAAGAATGTTGGGGGAAAGCAGCCACTGGCATCTGTAATAGGAACAAAATTTTTTCAGTGTTTTTCAGTACGTCTTTCTTTGTGTTCGACAGAAGAAAGAAACTCAAAACAGGTTTGGAACTAGTGAAGGATGAGTAAATTATTGTTTTAAGACTTGTGGAGACTGAGTCACAAATTAAAAAGAATGATATAATACATTTCATTATAGGGATCATCTACATTTTGTATGGTCTGATGATAAATCGACTGCTTGTTTAGGATAGGATAACATCTGATGATTGTACTCTTAAAAATAATCTTGCAATAAATCCCATTTAATCCCAATCGATAATGGCAAATAAAAACGAAACAAGAAAATGGAATAAAAGATCATTGTAAAGTGCAATTACATTGTAAATAAAAGATATGCATGAAATGATAGATAGATAGATAGATAGATAGATAGATAGATAGATAGATAGATAGATAGATAGATAGATAGATAGATAGATAGATAGATAGATAGATAGATAGATAGATAGATAGATAGATAGATAGATAGATAGATAGATAGATAGATAGATAGATAGATAGATAGATAGATAGATAAACAGGATAAGATCTAGTGATCGTCAAGACACCCTAAAAATGAAAATTCTCTCGTCATTTACTCATCGTTTATTTCTTTGAGTTTTTTTTATTTATTTTTTTGAATGCAAATGTAAATATTTTGCAATATGTTGGTAATTAAATACAGCTATTGATTTCTAGAGTAGTTGTTTTTCATACACTGTAAAAAAAATCTGTTAATTAACAGTTCCTGTATTTGGTGAATCTCAAGTTTTTTCAGGGTTTATTTAGGGTTGTGTATTGAGCTTGAGCTCTGTTCTGTCGACTTTTGATGTTTAAAACTTAACTCTACAGTTTACCAAAGTGACATTTATTGACATTTTAATAGTTTGATATGATATTATAATGTAAAAGAAAAAATATAGAGAGAGGGAAATAAGTATGTAAAATAACAGAAAACATACTGGCAGTTTAGTACAAGGTTTTTGTACATTAATATAAAACACCAGCCCAGACAATACATCACTTTAAACTACTAAAAATGTTCATAAACGTCAGTTTTAAAGTTAAAAGTTGGAAGGAAGATCAAGGTCCAATAACGCAACTCAAAAACATAAATAAACAGGGGAAACATTTTATAAACATGAATCACAAAATACAGAAAACTGCTACTTTGCTGATTTTTTACAGCATACTATGAATGTCAATTGCCGTTTTTTCCAACATTCTTCAGATTATCTTTTGCGTTTAACATAAGAAATTCATAATTCCCACAACCACTTAAATGTGAGTAATTGCTAATGAAATTTACATTTTCATTGAACTTTCCATTCTAGACTGTCACTCTCTTAAATAAAGCTGAAAAAGCTGAGATACCTTTTCACTTAGGTACTAATATAAAAGAGTGGGGGTTTAACCCCAGCAAACCTGGCCAAATTTGCCCACTGGCCTCTGTTCATGGCCTCCCAACCATCCCTATATCATAATTGGCTTCATCACTCTGTCTCCTCTCCACCAATCAGCTGGTGTGTGGTCTGGCACAATATGAATGCAATTAAAGTGCTTTAAGTGTCCAGAAAATGCAGGAATTATTTATCCACTGCCATATTGTATAACCGCCATAAATCTGTCTTTTTTTATTTACTCCAAAAAAAGGCAATATAAAAGTAAGGAATTATTATTAAATGCACTTTTAAGATGCCTTTAAATAATTGAAATGTTTTAAAAATGTTTTTAAGCTACCAATATGGGTCCTTTAAGTACAAAAGTGTATCTTTTGATTAGGGTATCATCACGTTCACAGCTTTTCTACATTTATTCAGGGTGTCCACATGGTCTTAAAAAGTCTTAAATCTCAAAAACAACATTTTAGGCCTTAGAAAGTCTTAAATTCCCTGAAATATTGTGTTGTAGGTCTTAAATCTTTTTTAACAGGTCTTAATTTTTCTTTGTTATTGTATAGCTACCCAATCTGGCCAAAACCCATACAATCACCAACAATCTGACCTGCCCTATATTATATTTTATTATATTATATTATATTATATTATATTATATTATATTATATTATATTATATTATATTATATTATATTATATTATATTATATTATATTATATTATAATAGATTTTTTATATTTCAAGTGATGATCTTTTCTAACTGGAATATTCCCTTGTGTTTAACCCTGTATAAGTCTAAAATTGAATTCATAATAGTCTTAAAAATGTGTTAGATTTAACTCTTTGTTTCCGAGACTGTCAAAGTCCATGTATTTAGAGTCAGTGTGTTTAGACCTGTAACACGACACTATTCTCTAACAATTGTGTATGATGTTGTAATAAGGATAAATGAGCTTAAATGAGGACTTTAGGATAAGAGAAAGCCATTGAACACCCTGGTGTGAAGAGCACTGGTCATGTTTACGTGTCTTCAGCTGTTCTTCTGCTTCTGAAGGGATGATTCACCCTGCTGCTGTCACTCTCTGTCCGCCTGTTTGCGTGTCTCTCTTTCTCTCTCTCTGCCAGTGTACTGCTTTCTCTTTGTACGCAGACCCAGGAGAGAATCTGAGGTCAGTGCATTCAACACACTTGAGTTTTGTGTATTAACAGCCGAGGCGGGTTTTGTCCTGCGTCACGGCTCTGCTTTCAGGCTCCGATAAACGTCTGAGCAGAAAGCAAAATAGAAAGAAGTGAAATGGTCTCGTATGAACTGTTTGGTAACAGTCTTAACTCATTCATTTATCAAAGAGAGATACAGTTGAAGTCAGAATTATTAGCCCTCCTGAATTATTGCCCTCTGTATATTTTTGTACCCAATTTCTGTTTAACAGAGAGAAGATTTTCTCAACACATTTTTAAACATAATAGTTTTAATAACTCATTTCTAATAACTGATTTATTTATATTTAATATTTAGATTTATATCTTTGCCATGATGACAGTAAATAATATTTTACTAGATATTTTTAAGATACCAATATTCAGCTTAAAGTCTCTTTTTTGCTAAAAACATTCTTTTAAAAGGAGGTTTTTATGAAAAATAGTACATTAGTCCCCGCTCTCCCCTACCAAGGCAACTAAAAACGTCAGAGCTTTTCTTTCAAGCCTTAAGTTTAACTTGATTTGCAACATTTTGAATAGATAAAACTTACTAAAATGGCTATTTAAATTAAATGCATGCGAGAATTTAGCCTAACTTTAGCTTAAAGTGCACTTTAATAGCTTAACCAGGTTAAGTAGGGTTATCTACATTCACCGGTCACTTTATTAGGTACACCTATCCACCTGCTCATTAACACAAATTTCTAATAAGCCAATCACGAGACAGCGACTCAATGCATTTAGCCCATATAGACATGGTCAAGACGATCTTCTGCAGTTCAAACCGAGCATCAGAATATAGAAGAAAGGTGATTTAAGTGACTTTGAACGTGGCATGGTTGATAGTGCCAGATAGGCTGGTCTGAGTATTTCAGAAACTGCTGATCTACTGGGATTGTCACCTACAACCATCTCTAGGGTTTACAGAGAAT